TTATATCAATTTCCAAATGCTGTTATTTCCTTACAGTTGCACCCGAGTTGCAAACCTCTACATGGTTTTGACATGAGGCCAGATGCTCTCTATTTCTGTGCCAGCCACATCCTGCTTTCTTTTCTTTCTTTTGTTAAAAAGTCTATTATCTGAGCTCATGGAAGGGTAGGCCGATGGGGGATTTACCAGAGGAAATAGGTCAAACTGTGGAAAGTACCAAAAACTTATCTTTACTTTCAGAATGCTGCGAAAGCTGAAGTCTTACGCACAGGTCGATCTGCCACTGAATTCAGTTTGGAGTAGAGGCGTCTAAACTTGCAACATCAGTCCCTTTATATTCTTTTCTTCTTAATTTTCCCCCCACAATTTTATTTTATTTTATTTTATTTTATTTTATTTTGTGGACAGAGCAGTTACTTTTTGTATTACACAAAGAAATAGCCGTATTAGTCTGCAAAATCAGCATGTAGAGAGATCTTGTAGCACCTTTGAGACCAACAGAAAGAAAGAATTCGGCAGCATGAGCTTTCCTAGACTTAAGTCTACTTCCCCAAATGCATCTGAGGAAGTAGACTTAATTCTAGGAAAGCTCAGATTGTTTTCATCGATTTTGCTTGTCCGGTGTCCCTGCAATCTTGGGATGTAAGGTGGGGAATAGACACATTTTAATGAATGAAACAAATAAGTAGCTATACTTATTATGGCGTACTTCCCGATTGCAAGGCGACAAGCCCAGAGTTGTGTGATCCATCCAAAGAGGTGACCGGTATCTTTTCTCTCTGCAGGATCTATATATGGAAAATTACTGAATAATACATACACATCCAAAACCCACCTCGACTGAACAGTGATGAGAGAGCCAAAACAATATTTCAGGGCTTGCAGAGATGCACCAGGCATCCTCCTCTACGGATGGATGGTGCTTTGATCCCTAGTACACTTTTGTTATTTGTAGCAAACTGATAGATAGTTCCCACCAAAGACAGCATCATAGCTAGGATGAGTTTAGGAATGACCGTCCTACATCCATCTTGCATTAGTCACAACCAGAAAATTACTCACCGCAACTTTAGTTATACAATCATTGCTGGATCCTGAAGAGGAAATGTTTCCTGGTCAAAGCCCACGCTGGTATATTATTTTCTTCTTCCACCTTCCCAATGGGTTGGTGGTGAACCACTAAATCAGGGGTCCTCAAACTACGGCCCGCAGGCCACATGCGGCCCTCCGAGGACATTTATCCGGCCCGCTGGGTGTTTTTGCCGCAATGCCTGTCCGGCTTAACAGGTTTTTTTAAAGACTATATTCTGGCCCTCCAATGGTCTGAAGGACAGTGAACTGGCCCCCTGTTTTAAAAGTTTGGGGACCCCTGCACTAAATAGCTCATGGGCGGGTGATTCGGTAGATCATATTGGAAACCTTTTTAATTTTTCCTTAATAAAGCAAGGCATGGACTCACCTAAGAGTGCAAATAGGAGAATGACTGAAAAGGCTATAGAGGTTGGATAAAGGATGGACCAGGAGACTGGTGTTCAGATCAGTGGCACCATCAAGGTAGGATTTTTGGTTTAGGACTGCAGGGCTGAATTTAGCAAAATTCCTGTATATTGAAGGGAATGAGGCAGTGCACATTGTCAGCTAAAAAAGGGGGTTGTTATGTGCCTTCAAGTCGTTTCCAACTTTAGCGACCCTAAAGCGAACCTATCATTGAGTTTTCTTGCCACATTTCTTCACAAGTGGTTTGCCACGGCCATCCCCTGAGGCTGAGAGAGTGTGACTTGCCCAAAGTCACCCAGGGGGGTTCCATGGCTGAGCAGGGATTCAAACCCTGGCCTCCAGGGTCATAATCCAGGGCTCAAACCATTCCTAGCTTTCTCCAGAAACAACGAATGCTAGTAAAAAAGGAAATGCTGAGTACCAACGGTGAAAACCTTTATTTCAGCAAAGAGGAACAGCCGATAGAACGGAGATGTGGTTTTGGTTGATTTGTGCCATTGCTATGTGCCATTGTTGATTTATGGCGATCCTATGAATGAGAGACCTCCAAGAGTCCTGATCCAAGTCTTGAAGATTCAGATCGTGGCATCAGAGTCAGTCCACCTTCCTCTTTTCCTGTTTTAGAGCACTCTTGTCTTGGGTTTATTGTCCATAAATTCCCTGTTGTTCAATATATGTGAAATGCCAACATCTCATCATTATTTGATGGGGGGTGTTCTAGATATTCTGGACTACAATTTCCATAATCCTACACCATTGGCCATGCTGAATGGGGCTCCTGGGAGTTGAATCCTCAAACATCCAGAGGATCAAAGATCCTCTGCTCCTGGTTTGAGACATAAAACACCTTCTCTCTGTGTATTCATTTGCCTTCAGTTTATTACCTGGCATTTCCTGTAGCTCCAAAAGTCTTTGTTAGCCCTATATTTAGTTTACCAATATATACAAAAAAGCTAAAATTCTCATGATATCCTAGCAACAAAACATGATGCTGTCTTATATGGAGGATCCTGCTATGGATCCCACAGAAGGTCAGGATGAATCAGATCAAATCCTAAGAAACTTTGATAAATCGGTCCGTAGATGATCCATAGGGATGCTATGGTACTTTAACAGCCATTAAGAAAGAGGTCTTCTGCAAACTCTTCCATTGATGCTGCAAAGTTTTGGCAAGATTGACAAAAGAAATCCTCGGATGGCCACCACTCAATCCAGGTCAAGGCATCTAAAGGATACTGGTATCTACAAAGAAAGAATATACATGCCATCTTTCAAAGGAAAGGAGAGAGAAAAAGCAAATCGCTACAGGAAATTCTGATAAGATACAGTTGAAGAGGTCTTCCACAAGATGATTTTTTAAAAGAGGAGGAGGAGAATATTCTTTCCAAGTTGTGGCCATGTTCTGCAAGGGAAGGTGGGCAATCTCTTGTGGGCCAAAAAGCCCCAAAGAAATCCCAGATCTGTCCCCAGACAACATACATATCCCCAACATATATATCCTCAATGCCAAAGATCACAACAAGAAGTGGCTTTTGATTTCTTCCAACCCACCTCCTTTTTTAAAAACAAATGGATGACAAAAGGTCATTGCTTTATATGTGAGGATCACACTTCGTGGAGAATGGATCGCACCAGACTTTGGATGAGTATTCCCTGAAAAAACAACCTTAATACACCCATTTTTCCTTCCACAATAGGATTTCCTCAGACACCTCCCTTAATGCAATTGAACCTGGAAATTACTCATGGGTTTACCTGGCAATGTCCAGCCACAAAACAAATAATGCAAAATACATCGTGGAAGGATCATAAGCTATGACCAATAGGTATCTTTTACCATTTAAAGGGAACACCTCTTGTATAAACATGATCAATGTCCTGTCTAGGCTAACCGTCAGTTTTAAAAGGCAAAAGATTTATACAATCTGAAGAGAAATCAGAGTTTTAAACTAAGGGCTTTGGGGGACACAGAGATGGTTGGCTGCATATTGCCCACCGCTGCAATGGAAGAAAGTCCACCATGTCTCCAA